TCCTTCCTTCCTTCCTTCCTTCCTTCCTTCCTTCCACAGATGGATCTCAGGTCAGCTTGGCTCACTGCAATGCCTCGATCGCTTGCAGCACCCAAGTGGCTGCTACACTTTGAGGATGGTTCTAGCTGAGATGGACGGAGGGGCCAGCTGATCCCCGGAGACATGGCCATCTGGACGCCTCACGATTAGCACGCCCAGGTAGCGTGCCAGTGAGATGCTCAAGAAAGACAACTTCTCTGCAGCCCCTGGGGGCCAGCATGCTCCCTCAAAACTCATCTTGCATGCCTCTCAGGAACAGAGTCTGAAACCACAGCAACCGGGGCAGAAGTGAAGAATCAGGCAAACTGTGGAACCGTATAGATTTGGAGCTTACTGATCCATGGTAGGTAACTGTTTTTCATTTTAGTGTAAGAAGCTGTCCCAACCTCCTCAGGTGCCCTCTGGCATGCTGAGTTTCAACCCCCAGAATCCAAAACAGAGATCTGGGGAACTGAAAGGGCCCCGGGCTGTGAAAGAACCTGAACACAGTTCTTCCACACACAAATCTACTTGTGGTTGTCCTCCTTCACACCTATGTTAATTTCCCCTCTATAATCTGCAGGAGAGGGTGAATAACAGACGCTGCCCTTGGGTGACAACTCTCCTGGCCAACCTGGGTCCCCTCAGTTAAAATCCACCATCCCAATAAAGCAGGATCACTCTAACCCAGTAGATCCACATGGGATTCCACCTATTAGGTGCCTTCATTTTGTTCCCAAATGAAGTTCTCCATCTAAGCTATGACCCTAGTCAAAGATCTAGTTAGCTCCTTCTCTTCCTTGGCTCACCAGAGGCTTCATTCCATATTAATTATATTATCAATTTATGCAAGTTGCCAAGGACATATTCTGCTGCATATTGAGGTCTGAAGAACTGATAAGGTCAATAATGCTGTGCAAAGCCGATCCTCACTGGACCAAGAAGGAGCAATGCTTGTGGAAGCAATCCTGAAAAGGAATCAGAGAGGGTGCTGATGCCAGAGACATTTGTTGTACTGTGTCCCCCTGGCCACCTTTCAGCTCAGCTTTGCAGCTGTTGCTCTTGCAATTACCAGTAGAAAGCGAGTACCACTGAAAACCGTGGTGCTGACAAGCCTCCATACGGATGCACCACGGAAGCGCCGTCCAAAAGATGTCTTTGGTCATGAACCCAGTGAAAGGAAGGGCTCTTCTGTAGTCGTCTCTGTGGCATTCGAAGAGAACTTCGGGGCAGATGGTGCCCCGTGGACACAGTGCAAGACATCCATGAGATCTTTCCATGTGCCCAGATCTGTTCAGACAGAAGCAATTTCCTTCATGACGAGACAAAGGAGATAGGAAGCTTATGCTAAGCAAAGGAGCACAGGAGGCTGGAAGACAACGTTGGGATTTTTGTTCCAGATGTGTTGGGACTGCAGCTCCCAGCTGCTCTGTCTCGTCTGCTCCACCTGAGCAACTTTTAGCTAGAACGGAAGCCAACACAGGACCAGAGGCAGCTTTTGGGCAGAAAACACCCTTCAATCACTTGCCACTGGGCCTAATCCCACGCTCCAGACTGCAACAGCAAATGCCTCTGAGCACCTTGTTATGATCCAGCAGCACTCTCCATCGTTAACTTTTTCTGTGGCGTTTTCCTAGTGACCATGGGCCCCCGCGCCCACTGCACACTTAATTCAGTCTGCCACAACCCAGTCAAACACAATTTATGGCAACCCACAAGCAGACTGACACCCCTTTGGAGAATACCCAATCCCTGCCACCTCCCCAGGAGATGCCTGGTGTCCCAGGAGCCCTCGCCTTGGGAAAATACTGCAGGCCTTCAGGACATCCCAGGGCCCTTCCTTACTGGCCAGTCGGGCAACAGTAGCCACTGCAGCCCATCTGAGTTTGGAAGGAAGGCAGCATCGGCGGGGAGGCTGACGTTGGAGGCACTTGCTCTTTGGGCTCTGGCCAACTCGGGCTTAGGTTCCCCATGACTAACTTGCCTGCGTTCCTTTAGTCCTGTGGGGCATTAAATTTAACCCCCAGGTAACTTCCCTGGTCTATTAACCCCTTTTTGATGTCCCCACAATATATTAATCCTCACTTCCTTTGATCCAGTTAAGGGTGTCGTGGGAACAAGGCCATCAGTGATGCTGTTCAGGAAGCTACTGAGGACCTGGCTGTTTTGCCAGGCCGTGGGGTAGGTTGATGGTTGATGGTTTGGGGTGTGTTTGTCTATCTTTGGGCCTGTTATGAATTTTTTTCCCTGTGATTTTGTCTTTTTTTTTTATTGTCAGCCACCAGGGTCATTAGGAGTCGGGCAGCCTCTAAACTGATTAAATAAGTAAATAAATTAAATCAATGGCAGCCACACATTCCTAATCAAGCTTCTCCACAAACTAGGGCTTGGTTATTTTATAACCTTCTCTCAAGATTTCCTCACATTTTCTTTTTCTTGCCTATCATGGCATCAATTTATTAAAAAGACTTTCCTAGTATATGAAGGAGACAGAAGCCAAGGATGTGATTCAAATAGAGAAGGTCTCAGGGTCAATGTCCCTTATCTCAAGAAAAAAGGCTGGGAGGGTTTCTCTTCTGACTAAGGCCTTGGAGGAGTCAACGATGGGCTGATTGATCCAATGTGCTCATCAAATCAATGGCAGAAACGGGCTTCAATACGCTCACATATTCTGAAGGAAGACGCATGTGCTTAGAAAAACCAAGAAATGTGCCAAGATTAGTTGTGGGAGAGCAAACTAAAGCCAAACACCACGTCTACAATGATCTAGGCACACTTTCAGGCGCCTTGGCAGCCCGTCCTGTTGGATTTCAAGGAAGCGATTCCTTCTCAAGCACCTCTGCTCAGCAGGTATCCACCTCATTGCAAGTCAGGGGGAGGCAACCTAGTGCCTT